GCACGCACACATACACACACACACAAGTGCAAGCGAGTCGAATGCAGGCTCGAAAATCACGCAACGCGTGAGTATAAACGAAAAGATAGATAGATAGATATACACACACGCACCCATATATATATATATACATATATATATATATATGAATGAGCCTCCAAGCCCAAGGAGGCCAAGACACGACTTGACAAGGCTCCGGAAGACAGAGGGTCTGAAAGCTTTCGAACCAAGGAACTGGATATGACTCTTGGAGTCAAAGGCGACTCGATGCAGGCGAGGCTTGTCCGGTTCGAAGGGCGTCTTTTGGGGTTTGGACTCTCGCGACTCGAGGGTTTAGTGACTTGTTTAAACAAGTAGAGCTCAATGTGAGAATCGCCTAACCTGCAGGCCCCCAGAGGAGCAGGCCACGATGAGGATGGAGGTGCCCGTGCAGGAGGCATATCCTCCACGTCGCTCAATATCTCCGCATGCATGCTGGCTTTTCGTAAACATGCTGTGTGAAGACCAACAAACAACGACACCACAATTTCTGATGTTTGTGACCAGGCTTAGAGATTCGACTGAGATTGCACAGCCTGCTACTACTCGCGCTTCCTGCCCAATTCGCGGTTTCAGAACCAATCCCGACCACCCTGCGCCTGAGGTCAATGTCTCACTGACAGGCCTGGGCAGATCGGCAGATACCGATCTCACGCTAAGCGGCAACAACATGTCGGCAGCTGGTCCAGCTCCACCCCTCATGCCGAACGCTGCTCTCAACACAAGCTGACCGCTTCTCCTGGGAATGAGTGTGATCAGGCCTGTTCAGGAGGCTGAAAATGCAAACTCGAGAAAACCTGTGTTGAATCCATTCACAAGGGTGCGTGCATGTCGGGTCTACGCATGCTGTGCGATTCGACATTATTCAAGAGATGCCTCCTGGTCAGAAGCTTCCCGACGATGGAGAAAGCTGCATCCCCGGTCAATGGTCCGCATAATTACTGTACATGTCAATGACAGTGGTAGAAAAAGGCTGTATGATCCTGCATGAATGTGTACCCGTGTTGACATGTGCCATGCATTTTGTGCATGTGTGTATGTATGTATGTATGTATGTATGTATGTATCTATGTATGTATGTATCTATGTATGTATGTATCTATGTATGTATGTATGTATGTATGTATGTTGGCTTAAACTCTTACTCAAATGTCTCATCCCCCGCCAGCACAGCAGGCGTGCCCAACTCCGGCGAATCTTCGGTGAGCGGCATTTGTTTCTCTCCTGTTCTCGCAGCCATGCCATGGCATTTTTGCACTTGACACTCGCCGAATGTGTTCTACATCCCCTTTGGCGAAATTCGGCGAAATTCAGCCAGATCTCCCGCTGTACCTTATGATTGCAATGAATGCTCTGGGTATCAGTATTCCTTGAAATTGCTTACTTAGGGGATTTTGCAGGTCCTGGAAGATCTTGGCTGACACGAATTCGTACTAGCACGCAACGAGATCAGGTATCGTTATCTCTTGTCTGGTCCAAGTCTGTAACCCTTAAACCCTACAGTGCCGTAAGGTAGGGGCCTTAATAGCTAGAATAGGGTTTTGGGGGTTCCTTATTATTATTATGATAGTATAATACACCCCCAAGCCCCATTCTAATTATTAAGGCCCCTATATTAATGCATAAACCCGAAACCCTGGCTGGGTCTGGGATCTCCAGCGCCGGGAAGTCAAAGAACGGAATTTCCAGGCTCACTGCAAATTAAGGGTCGGATACGGCGTAGGGATTCAGGGTTTAGGGTTTAGGATTTTTGTTCCCTAGGGTCTAGGGTTTAGGTGATTCTAAGGCTTCAGCCCACATGTATAGTGCAGTGAGTTTGGAGCCTTAGAAGCTCAAAGGTGAAACGGCTAAAGACTCGATTCAACGCGGTTCGTCGATGACTGATCCTATGGGGACCAAGAGACACCTCAAGAGTTGGGGGTTCAGTGCCTGTAGGCATGTGGGTAGTTCTCTAAATGAGGGTCCCTCTTAGGGTCCTGTTTACAAAGGTGCCGTACTATATTGGGGTCATTGGGGACCTAGCAAGGGAGCCTAACTTACAGAACTACCCATGTATGTAAGCTCCAAGTGTACGGGGCGCACGCGATTGAGCGTCCCTTGGTCCTGCAACGTTCGGATGCGCCGCGCCACAGTTGCGTGGTGCAGCAGTTTAGCAGTTAGGCTCCCCAGAGACTCCATATATGTTTTAAACAGGATCGGAAACTCTATCAACGGCGTGCGGATTCTTCAATATTCTTCACTATATGATGCAGCATATATGGCTCAGGGAAAAATCAGTTTCTGGGCCTGTCGGACAAGTCTGCAGGTGCTTTCCACTGGGAGCTCACGCTGTAGAGCTTCCAAGACGGACTGGGCTTCCCTCCCTTGTGCCACCGCTGTCAGAGCCATCCTTGCTGGGATCCCTCCAGGCAGGCAGAGCCCGCGCTGGGCTGCCGGCCCCGGGTTTATTGAAGCAGCCTGTAGCCATCCTGCTCCTCCTGCGGGGCTTCGGGGTAGTGGGCCGAGCCGGGGAGTCCTCCTTCCGATCTCTCTCACTGACCCTTTTTGGGCGCTTCTCGAAAATGCTGTCCACGACCTGGGATGGCCGGCGAATCTTTGCTTGTGGAGCCCCTGGCTCTGTGAAGCCGGGCATCAGGAGTCCCGACTTCTCCTGCAGGGCCTTCTCTATTGCAACCCTCGATCCCTTCAAGGCTGCTTCTGTGGCGTTCAGGACGTAGGTCTGCAACTTGTCCATTGCAGCCTTGATTGCATCCTCGGCCAAAGGCTGCAAGCAGGTCGGTGATGTGGCGTGCGGCTGCTCCGCGGCGCTTTCGTCTGCCGGTACTTGCAGGATGGGAGCCGAAGGGAGCTTCTCGAGCTCCATCGTCACTTCAGGCTGTAGGTGCACCTTGGGCTCTAGCAAATGTGGGGGCTCGAAGGCTTCACCCGGAGACTTTTCAAGAAGCATCGACATGATCGCTTCCATTCGATTGTCGAGGAGTTCAAAGCAACGCCGAGAGAGGCCATAGAGCTCTTCCTGCTGCCCCAGCGATCGGAGCATGTTGTATTTGATAAATCGTGGGGCAGTTCTAGACTCGCTCACCCACCTCGTCAAGGGAGTGATGAACTCTGCGGCGTCGATTTCGCCCTCGCCCTGCACGTCGATCATCTCAAAGAGCTGTTCCAAGTCCGCCTCGTCGATGTCCATCACCCGCAGCCGGCTTTGGAATTCCTGGTCCCTCCGGGCTCCCTCCAAGAGCTCTTCAAATGTCATTTTGCCACTGCCATCTGTGTCGATGCGCTTGAAGATTCGTTCCAGCCGCTCGCGATCAATGCTTTCATTGTTGTTCATCTCTTCCGCCAGGTTCAAGACATCGCGCTGACGAGCTTCCGCGAAGGTATCTACGACCACAGCTACGATAAGATTCATGACGCCAAAAACCAACGTCAGGTTGGACCCCATGAATATGATAGCAGTAAGCGGATATGCTTCGATCATGGGCACAGAAACTTTTCCCCAACCGTCGCCAGCGATCACCGTTTTGAACAAAAGCACGTTTGCACGCATGACCGACGATGTTGATCTCTGGCACTCCAGGCAGTCCTCGAAAACCTCCTCCATCAAAGGGTTGACGAGCTCCACGATCAGGAGCGCCCAAACAGTCATCATGACAAAGCAGAAGATGAACGACCAAAACAGTGTTTTCAAACAGGTTGACAACATGCGAATCAATTTTTGCAATTCGCGAAAGCCTCCAGTTCTTCTCAACACTTTCCCAACACGCAAGATTCGCACTAAGCGCAGCATTCTGAAAACCGCAACTGAGCTCATAAGGTCGCCATAGCCCAGGTACTGCAGCAGCGTTTCTACATACCCACAAAGGAGAACAAAGGCGTCGGTCAATATCATAGGCTCCAGGAGTATTCGTAGTCCTCTCGCGATGACCACGAGACATGTGTCGATGGAATATAAGCAAAGACACAAGTCTGCTATGATTTGAATCACATCAGCCGTGCTTGCTCCGGTGGCTCGAGTGTCAATGTCAATGCATGTACACAGGAAATCCACCAGTACAATCACAGCGAACAGGTTTGCCATCACTTTGTTGCGGGTGTACATCACGGCACATCGGGTCAAAAGCGTGACGCTCCTGTGAGACGTTCCGCTTTTGTGAAAAAAACTGCCAGAATGTGCCGTCACAAACCTGCTGGACAACCGAACATTCCTCCTGGAATCATTCTTCTCAGACAGAGAGGACTTGATGCTCCCTATTTTTGCAACGTCCACACCCCCTCCGCGCTCTGAGGCACTGCTGGTAGTGGAGCTCGCACCTGAGTTGTGGCTTTCTGTAGATCCTCTTGTTTCCGGAGAGGCCATAGCTACTAGCGCAGCGCCACAGGAGACCTGATGACTTGAGCCAGTGACTTGAGCCGCAACCATTTCAAAGAAAAATGAGGTCGGATGTTCTTGCCACCCGTAAAAAATCATAACAAAATAATAGCATCACCAGTTGTTCCGGCCCCGTCTTATCTGCGACCTGCGCAGACCAGCCGGAACAAGGGTGCACAAGTGCCCTGCTACGTTGATTGCCCGGTCTGAGGTGTAAAATCCCAACTCAAGAGATTCTTGGAATAGAGCGCCATCATGGCCGGGGTGGAGTTCGATCTGAAGACCACTGCGGTGGAGTTGGGCACCTCCATTACCTGCACGCAGGCAAGGCAGGTATCTTCATGAGATGCACAGCCCTCTATGGGAACTTCACTGGAGTTGGGTTCGATTTGCTCTTGTAGAACCATAGTCCAAGGGTTTCAGCACTCACACTCGGAGATGCCCAGGCGAGGGTCCTGGTACGTCCAAGGATGTAGAGTCTAGAGTTCAGGGAGGTTCATCACTCATCACAGTTCATCACGCGACCTCACACGGACACGGTGGCAACTAACCTAGTACATGACGCTAACAAAAGCACACGGGTCGGATAAGCCTTGTGTGTGGAAAGACTTAGGTCCCAAGACCCTCATAGTGAGGTTTTCCTGTTGCAGTTCTGACCACGAGACGAAATATAGAACTCATGGGATGCCGTTGGGCAAGACATGGGTAGGGGCGGTGGATTTCCCTCGGCCCAAGGGAGCTGCAGGACACTGTCGGGAATGTCCAAATGCTGCTGGTACGTCTCAACAAAATCGGTTGCTTCATGTCTGCTGAACGGTGGAGCGGACATTTGGACCTTGAAACCCTACGCCCTTCCTCTAAACACATCTTTCGGCTTACTTCAGACTTTACCGTCCAGCTTGGCAAGAAGCGGCCTTCGGCGATGCCCTCAGCTCTGTGAAAATGCGTGGCACAATGTCCTGCATCAAGAGAGCTTTCTTTTACTATTGACTAGTACTATTGTTGCTATCAAATCGTGTTATTGCTAGTCTACCTAATCGTATTCGTATTATCATGATTATTATTACTGTTGGTGATACTATCAATACTACTGTTGTTATAACTACTGGAACTACTACTTCTACGACTATGTTTGTCACTGTAATAATACATTTGTCACTACTATTCGGTTTGTTACTATTGATGTTACTGTTGTTCTTCTGAACTATGGTGACAATCATTCGCATTAGAACGTTGACTATACAAAAGCATCTTATTAACCAGAATACTTACATTAGTACTGTTATTGCTACTATTCATCCCGCTATCATTAGCTTTATTATGTCTGATTAGTCTTGCTATTCTTATTGTTACGATTGTTATCATTCGTTTTACTAGCAAAAAACGACAATATTACCACCACCACCACCACCACCACGACCACGACCACCAACACCACCATTACCATTTTTCCTACTACTATTGCGATTATTATCGCTACGATGACTATTCCTAATTTTCCCAATACAATTCTCACTACCACTACCACTACTACTACTACTACTACTACTGCTACTACTACTACTACTACTGCTACTGCTACTGCTACTGCTACTGCTACTGCTACTGCTACTGCTACTGCTACTCCTATTACTACTACTACTACTACTACTACTACTACTTCTACAATTACTACTTCTTCGATATGATGGAAAATTATAGTACGATTACTATGAGTCACCCGTGTCATATAAAGATCGAACGCCAAGTCGTTTCAACAGAAGCGGAAAGAGAAGCAGAGTTATCCCTTGCACCCCAAAGAAAGCTAGAGAGAAAATATTGAGAAACGTACAGGAAACAGGTCAATGCGCGATGGCAATCGAGTGAATTTTGCGAAGGCTTTCCATATCCCAGGTTAAATAACAAGAGGTTAGGAAACTGCAGTGCAGCACTGAGCACTGGCTGCTGTAGAATCGCGACAGACGTAGGACACGCAACGACAGGAACAACACGAACCGTAGTTCATACCTGCAGTCTTCCATATCAAATCCTCTCGTGTTGCGGCACCATCCACCCTTAAACCTGTCCATGAACACGAGTGACATCAGCCATCTCAGATGTCTTGACACTAGCTATTCCATGCAAGAAATATCCTAAACCCTAAACTACACCGTAAAAAACCCAAGACCAACGTCCAGAACTGCTTCACGGAGGCTGCTGGCTTTCACGGCATGCGGGGCCTCGGACCGGGAAGGATTTCCCAGTTTCAAGCAGACTCCTCCTTCCGAAAAGCCGCTCGCACAACACGCAAAAAAAGACTGCACTGCAAAGGCCCAAGCGCGGTCCGTTCTGTAAAAAACAGAAGTGGCGGGGGGGGGGGTTCAACTATTTCCTTTGTTTTGGAAATACGTACCTGAAGATGAAAAACCTAGTGCCAAATAAACCCAAAAGGCATCTCTTTTTCTCTCGCCTTCTTCTTCTCCTGGGGCATAGGGGAGGTTCGCGCGCTAGGCGCCCCCGTGTGTTTTTGGGCATTGAAGGGATGTGAAAGTCTTCGGATTTACGTGCTTTGTGTTCGAGAATATGGTAATTGCACTGCAAGAAGAAGCATGTCCCCCTTTCTTTCTCTCTCGCTCTGCCTCTCTCTCCTCTCGTTCTGAGCCTTTCCAGACATATATATATATACACACACACACATACTGTATATGTATGTAATGCATGCTATCTATCTATCTATCTATCTATCTGTCTGTCTATCTATCTATCTATCTATCTATCTATATATATATATACATATATTATATGTATTATATATTGAAAATGGATGTGAGCACGTGCACGTCCGGGGAGACCGTGGTTCGGACCGGTAAGATTAGACGCCAGGAGCAGATTTAGATCCAGCACATTCCAAGACCGTACGGTTTAGAGTGGGTTTTAGAGTGTCGTTTGAGGTTTGGGGCTTGAGGGGTTTAGGTTTTCTCGGGCAGGCCGCGCGAACCTCTCGGTGCACCTGCCTGGGTGGTCGGGTGAGCCTATGCCTTGAATCGAAAGGGTTGACAGCAATGTTACAGATGCAAAGACGATGCTTCCTAACCGCATCAGCAATGCTCCGGGCCAGTTGCCGGACAGTACGTGAATACTAACCGTCCATGCCAAGTGAGAAGAACGAACATCATCAAACATCGAATGCGTGATACCTGGAGCCACACACTTAAGTTTTTTCTTCTCGTTAAGTCTACATCATGTACGCAGGGGCGCGTGTGGACCTGTATCATATCTGGCAGCAAGATTTGGCAGAGCATGTTGCAGACGGGCGGGGAAGCACGACATTATGCAAGCAGAGAAAGCTCAAAACACTGAAAGTGTGAATTGCATCTTGGCCTTCCCGAAAGATGCTCAAGACAGCTAGGCAGCTAGTCCGATACGGTTTGGACTTTGCGAAACCTCTAGTTTGCGACACAGATGTGTCAACCTTCCCATACAGGTCTTACGGCATCCTTTGCACGCTGCGTTTTGGAGCCGAAGACTAACTGCATAGACACCGGGCATAAACAGGATAATGTGTGCACATGGGCACAAGCGGACAATGTTCACTGTGCATCCTTCTTTGCAAATCAGCTAATCACTCATTGTAAAAGTGCAGCATCTGAGTCCCAAGCCAAAACCTGGAAGAAGCCAGAACGCCAATCGTCGACAGGCTCATCGACCACCCTGGCCCCCCGCTCAACTTCCAGTGGAAAGATCACAGCCCTTTTCGTGGCTTCACGCATTTCAACCTGGTCCCGACGTCTCAGAAATCTTCAGGAGGTGACTGTGACTGCTCTTGGGTGCCGGCTCTGTCATGCCAAGGCAGTTCGCAAAACCACATAGCTGACAGTCATGGTTCCACCACACCCGGATCATTGTCACCGCCCCCCCTGCCCCCCGCCCATGTGCTGCGGTAAATGGCAAGGAGGAAGCAAGGTGTTGACCAGGTCAGCATGTTCATTCGATATCATTCGAAAGTCTCGTGCCTGTACGGAAGCACCTCGGACAGGAAGAGCTCCTCACGAGCACAAACTGCTTCTGAAGACAAGCCCGGGCCACTGAGTTGAAGGATGTGGTGGTAGATTGCCGCTCACACGCCGTTTTACTCAATGTAAGCTATATGGGTGGCTTCTGGCAGTCTTACAGACTAACCTGGTGACTCGACTATCATTGGTTACACATGCACGATTATAAACACCCATGGCGCTGCAGGTTGCTTCAAATTTGTGCTTATTGCATTCACTGCTATGCTGCTATGCACTCGTATAAGTACGTTTACGAATTTAGCGAAGAACAAGCATCAAAGCTGCTTGTCCGTGCAGTGCTTGCTGCTGCTGCTGCTGCTACTACTACTACTACTACTACTACTAGTACTACTAGTACTACTACTACTACTACTACTACTACTTCAGTATTATTCTTACTATGGATTTTGCCACGGTCGTAAACAAACATGGCCAGGGAAAGTGCTAGAAACCAAGCCGTTCCTTCGGTGATCCTCGGCCGATTGCAAATTAAAGGTTGAAGGATGAAGCTGGGACAGATTGCAGCTCTGCTCGTCCGTTTTGGTGTCTTTGCGGAGCTTGGGGGTCCGTCCCGAGTGAGTACACGTTGCTTGCGCCCGTTCGGCAGCGAGCAAAACGTCGTGATTGCTCGACAGCTCATGTCGATTATGTCGCGTCTAGAGCGCAGCTCCTCACGGCTTGCATGGGAGTTGAAACAGAGCCAGGGCATCTTGAGAGTATCTTAGAATCTTTTAGGGCTTGGGAGCTTTGGCGAGCTGCTTTAGCCTGTAGCGGCTGGATCAAGAGCTGCCCACATGATTTGGGAAACACTTCTTGCAAGGGTCCCAAGCAACCCCGGCAGCAGTCTTCGAACATCCATTTGTCAAAACCAACTGACCATAAAGCCTAGCATACCCAGAATCGCTCAGACGAGATAACCGGGCATGCATGCATTGCTATTTTACCTGATCGGTCTCGTTAAAGCTGCGCTGTGGAACCACGAACATTGCATGCATCAGGGCCTGTATCAAGCAGTCATGACATATGAAAAGCCTCGCAACATCTTCTCGCTGGCATCTTGCCATGGTGGCTATCAACTCAGCGGCTGCTATTGTGACAGCATCGCAAAGCCTGCTTCCCAACTGAATGTGAAGTATGATCCTAACTCACCCGTGTGTTTACGATCTACTAAAGCCATTACAATGAAGGCAAGAAAGGGCTGCGACTTACTGCAAGTCTTTGGACGGGTTCACGCGAAGTGTTGCGCCCGAGTTTAAGATCGGGCGATTCCAGCTCCCACCGACTCTGGTGTGGAAGGCTTTGATTACTCCAAGGATGATAAGGACAGGTAACTATTAGTAATTACAAGCAACCTCTCCCTAGAGCACGTGTGGAACATAACAAGATTAAGCTGCTCTAGTCGTGTTGCTTGCTGTTGGACCCATAACACTACAGTAAGCGCTGCACTGATGGTCCCTGTTTGTACTCTCACACTCAACGCGAATCCCTGGGACCCCAAACTCTGCTGCCAAGGGCATGGATGTGTCTGCAAAAGTCGTGGCCGACCCTTCGGGCGACCCGTATCTTTCCGGAGAGCTGAGGTCCCAAAACTTGGACTCCCGCAGAGCAAAGGTTCAGAGTGCTATAATTCCCGAGTCCCCTATATAGGACCCTCAAAATAGGGATCTTGCTAGGTGCTTTTTGGTATTTATGGCCCCTTGTTTTCTGAACCTCCAAATCGACCATGAGGTGCACCGGATGACTGGGGACCTCATCTCTCAGAGACCCCACATGCAAGCTTCCTAAAGCACGGAGGAGAGGGCTGAACATACGTCGGATGCTACGAGGGTTTACAGCACTTCTCTGCCCTTGGCGATTTGCAGTCCCCCCCTTCGACTCGGAAATCCGGTCTAGTGTTTCGTGTGACACTAGTGTGGCGTTGTTCCCATCCCTCGGACGTGGAGTGACAAACATTGCGATCGGGGACTAAATAAAGAAGTCTGAACACTTTGCAGCAGCAGCAACAGCAAACGGAAGCAGCAACGAGGACGACCTCACGATGCAAACTCGCAGTTATCATCGTTGCAACTTGTGGCCATCGTAGACCCATGACACCCTTATCAATCGGGAAAGCGCTTGCACAACACTCCCTCGGACGCGGGAAGGATCCAACTTGAGGATGCCTCGACTGGTAAGCTCCTTTGGAGCTCCAAATCCCTCGCGGTTTCAGGGTTTGCTGGATAGGTCAGGGTCCCTTTGTGGGTTAGTGGGTTGAGGTATGCGTGGATTTAGTGGCTTTTTCGTCTGGGCTCGACTTGTCGGGATTCTGGGATGTGGCAGCCCTAGCTAGCTGAGAGAATCCAGAGAGTGCATGGAGGCTTCGTCGACCACTTCAATGCCTTGGCTGGTCAGAGGAGGTATTCGGAGGATCTTCGGGTCCTCAGAGCCTGTATAGTAAGATTAAAGTAAGGATTCGGTCGAGTGTGTAGCTTGTAGCATGCTAAGATAATCCAGGGGACATGTTTCTGGAATGATTAACTGGAGGATGTTGCTTAGTGCTCGCATGCTCACAAGGAGCTGATGTTTTCGGGTACGCGTCTGCTGCCTCAGCCGCAACGCCTAAGGCTTTAACTTCCGGTGATCAGGCATCACATGTGGATACGGTACTCATGTGGCACTGGCTTCTGTGTGACCCGCCTCCAAACATTTTCCTGCATCATGTATGTATATGTATACATATATATATATATATACATACGTACACAAGCCCCTGAGCTTCTATGCTGCAGGCTAGATATCTGGAAGCTCTGAACAAAGCGCGAAGGTCACTCTCTCGACAGCCTGTCTTCGACCTTGCAGAAGCTACAAACTAGCTAAGCTTAGCAGCCCCATGCAATGCTCATCGGGAGGCTACGGTCTGAGCAGGAGGCTCAGGGCTGAGGGGGCGCACCATGCAGCCATGCAGCCTAAACCCTAAACCCTAAGCCCAAAACCCTAAACCCTATAAACACTGCAAGGCTCTGTTTTTACATGTCAAAACCACTCAGATCTCGGCTCCAAGTGACTGCGAACAGGTCGCATGCAGGCTCTGATCTAAAGAGCACTGCCAGCACACTTCTGCTGTCGAGCCTGTGGTGGATGTTAAGGAAGAGCAATGGTTGACAAGACCCTCCTTCATCATGGAGAGACTATGCTGCAACCCACGGGGTGGTGGAAAAAACCTGGTGATGGGCATCCGTCATCGCTGAGCAGCGAAGGTTCAACAATTGCATGACTTTCGAACCAGTTGCTTGGCTCCCACTTATGCAAACCATCCTGAAATCAACCTTCGCTGCACGGTGGACGTCACAATTCTCGCCGTCACTGTCGTCTTCCCTGAATTAGACCACGTGCAGACCTGGAAGGCTTCACAAACTTTCATGCGCCCGGTCTTTACAAGTCTACAAATCTCCCGGATCGCGTGATATGCGCTCTGCAGCGGCTCACCCGCCAGCTCAAGAGACAGGGGCTAAGTGGCCAGTCCGGCATTAAGTTGTAGCAAACGCTGTGTTGGTGCTCAAACTGCCTCCGTGCCGGACTAGCTGGACTTCATAAGCGTCTCCCTCGGTTACTCTATAGACTATGGCGAGGCTTCCGTCAACTGAGATTAGCCATCCTCTGCAACCCCACTTCTCATGAGGGAGACGGCCCTCCTTGGCAAGTGTGGGTGGGCGATCGGTGCTGCAGCGACCAAGGCCGTTGCCAAAGTCGAGAGGCATCTGCACCCGTTGGCAAGTGATGGAAAAGCTGCCCCACCTGATGATCCCTAACTGTATCCCGACCGTATCAGCTTTTCCGCTCACGCTAAACAGCTGCGGGAAAAGGGGGTGGTAATTAAAACGTGCCTCACATAGGTAGGTCACATGCTGACATGCTTTGGGTTCTTCGCAATGGAAACTCCGGGAAATCCTCGTCCTCGTCCTCCTCTTCCACGGTCAAAAAGGTGTTCATCACACGCAAGACTGGTCTCCTTTCTAAGGCACGGTAGGGAACATCAGCCTCTTCAGGAGTGTCGACTTTGCTGCGATTCTTTTCGGACCTTTCGGAGTCTGACTTCGTGGCCGGGTGGACCGGTGAGCTCCGACCGTCTGCTCGATCCCCTTTGAAGCTCCGATGCTCGCTCTTGCTTCGATGCTCTGCCTTCCCCCGTGAGTGCCCATGATGCCGGCGACGAATCTGCACAGTTTGCTGACCACTAATCTCGAAGTTTCGCTTGCCTTGACACACGTGCTGCACGTCTTCGATGTCTATGACCATGACTGGCTGACGCTGCCGTGAACTGAGATCTAACAAACCTGGATTGCCACCAAGCTGGACAAGGCCATCCGAAGTCTCCCGTGTCGCTGCTAAACCCGAGATAATTTGAGCAGGGAACTCGTCCACATCTGCGAGGGTGTCGACCAACACTCTCCTGGCTCGAGACAGCTTCGCTTTCCCTTGCGGGCGGCTCTGGTTTCCCGGTGATGTGCGACTTTTCAAGGAGCTGATAGGCTCGGTGGGCTCCAGCAGGTCATCTTCCCAGGAGGCTGCGATCACAACCTTGGCTGGCTCATCCACTTCTGGTACATCGGGGATAGTGGCGAGGTTCACGACATCCTCGGAAATTCCGGACTGCAGCTTTCTGAGCAGCTCAAGCTGATCCACCTCCGCTGTCTCCACTTCCTCTTTCTTCTCAACCTCGGGCTCCTCCAGAGCCCTGGGTTTCAGGAACTTGTGGAAACCTGCCTGCGGAGGTCTCAGACTAAAGTGCCTTCTCGTAAGTGTTTCCGCTTCGTTTTCCTCGAGAGGCAACTGTGCGCGCATCTGGTTCACCACTGCCTGCGCCTGCTCAAGCTCCTCGTCACTGTGAGCGAAGCGACAGGCTGGACCCACCACGCAGCGACCCATCAAAAAGAAGCTGCACAACTTGGACTTCAACAAGTGTGGTTGCACCTTGAGCTCATCCACAGAGTGTGCATAGCGACAGTTCTTGGAATCGCATTTCCCGGTATGCAGGAAAACCGGACACACCGAGGTTTTCGCGAAGTCCGGGGAGGGTCGCAGGTCGTCCTCACCGTGCGCGAAGGAGCATTTGATGCCCTTTCGGCATTTTCCCAGCTGCCAAAACTCGCACATGCGAGTCTTCCAGAGAGGGGAGACATTCTCGGCTGCTCTCGTCTTGATCTTGCCCTTCTCTCGTCGTGCAGCGAGGGCTTCCGGCCTGCCTGTGCCGTATTCCGCCAAGGGAGGCGGTGTCTCGGGCAGGCACCGCAGTGCCATCTGGACGCCTGGCACCATCGGGGTGGGATCAACTCCACTAGAGGAGGAGCCAAAATGGCTGAGAAAAGTCCCACGCGGCCGGATATGGGTCATAGCTTTCGGCTTTTTGTGCTTGCGCTTCAGTAGAAAACGAACGTGCTCAGAAGAAGCCCATGGCTACGCAATATCAAACCTCAATTCTACGGACATGAACCAGCACCTCCAGTTCCTTGATTCTTGGTTTGGGCTCCGAGGCACCATCACTCTCCACCTCCATGTTCTCGGCGTAGTCGTGACCACCGCTTCCTTCTGTAACTCGATCCTTGCTGAGGATGCTGGGAATCAGATCGGGTTTGAGTGTTTTGGACGTTCCTAAGGCCAATACCGGACCTGCAGCGAACTGAAGGCTCATGTGGTGTTGCTCAAGACCCTGATTCCCCTTCATGGGCCGTGGGCCTAGCACCTTGACGGCCTCGCAGCTCGTGAGCCAACACCAGCGATTGAAAACGCCAAACACTTCAGCAGCTCGCTTGGATTTGCAGTGTACGGCTGAACTGAAGAAAGGTAACGGGCTTGCTGCCGAATATTTTTGCTGTTCAAGCAGCAGGCTTAAAGGCCGAAGCTAGGATACGATAGTATGGGCTTCGCTTGAGTCCACATCTACGCAGCAGCACTACACGGCAAGTTCAATGCAGAACGTGGGTGGCGGCCAAGCCCGGCGCAGATCCACAACAAAACAACGGTATACCACAACTCCACGAAACAACGTACAGGAATCACAGAAAGTGTGAAATGCCAATGCAAAACCACATTTGCACTCTGCTGAACGTTTTATGCCGAAAACGCATCGTGCCAAGACTTGCGTTTTGTCACGGACGCAACACAGATTTGACTGGCATGCACGTCACCATCTGCCCGCACAGCCGCACAGCCCGTCACAAGGCCCATCACCTAGCAAAACTAAGTAACACCAAATGAGTGACATCTAGGCCCTAGGCAACAAACACAAGCAGAGACACAACAACGCGCACCATCCCAAACGAGATTAAAGAACATAACGATGACAAGCCGCCGCTACTGCTACTTTCATGCTGCTCTTCCTATACTTGTACCAAGTCATACTTGAAGTGTCGCCGGCGTCGCACTGAAGAATCTAGGTCTAGGTGAAGGTGAGGAGCCGGTCGCTATCTCTGGCAATGTCCACATGCACGCACAAACTCCGATTCGTGTGCTTCAGCTCCTACCTGCAGACCCCAGATGAGAAAATCTAGCCCCCGCACTCCACTTCTGCTGTGGGTGGTGCTGATTGCTTCGTCCCTGTGCATCTCTGAAGATGATGAGTTCGGGCAAGATTTCGGGTTCACTGCGGAACCGCAGACATAACCATCGCAAGCCCAGTGGCGGCGTAGACGACCTCGTCAGACACTGATGCCGAGATGAGACTCCCCTCTGCCTGCGACAGCTCAAGATACTTCGAAGGCCTTATAGGGTGTCTCAGCTTTAATGCGGCTGCAGAGCGCCCCAAAACCCTCAAAAGCGAAACCATGATGATGCAAAATCACATCTCGTCAGGTCATTGGTAGCTGGAGGATCAGAGGACTTAGGAATTAAGGTTACCAGTGCGAAGCAACTTTAACTGTGGCCTCATTCATACCCCTCTATTTGCCAAGTCCCATATGCAGGTATGTATGTATGTATGTATGTATGCATGTATGCATGTGTGTAAGTATGTAGACAAGTAGGTAAGTATGTAAGTAGGTACGTATGTATGTATGGGTGTAAGTAAGTAAGTAAGTAAGTAAGTAAGTAAGTAAGTAAGTACGCAAGCAGCAAGCAAGCAAGCAAGCAAGCAAGCAAGCAAGCAAGCAAGCAAGCAAGCGAGTAATTACGTACGTATGTATTTATGCCTGCATGCATGCATGCATGCATGCATGGATGGATGGATATGGATGTCTGTCTGTCTTTCTGTCTGTCTGTCTGTCTGTCTGTATGTGTGTATGTGTGTCCGTACGTACGTACGTACGTATGTATGTGCGTGTTGCTAGTTATTTAGATATGTATTTAGAGTCGGAGGCAGCATTCCGCCTCTCGTCCCGCGAAACCAATCTCCGAGTCTTCCTCGAAAGCCTCCTGAAGAAGAGCCCGTTTGGTGATACTTTTAGGGCTTAAAGTTTAGGGTTGAATGTGGGAATGCACCTAACGATTGGGGCCATTAGGGCTAGTTTGGTTCAGGCCCTGTAAGTTCAGGTGAACCCCGAACTTCGAAAATGTGGACACGAGGCAGGGCTAATGGCTGGGACTTGAGGGAGGACTTAGTGAGTCTTTCAGGCTTTGAACATCATCGGCTTCTTCGTCTACAACAGCTGTCTCAACCTGAAGCTCACAACTCCACGATGTGTACTCAGGATAGCAGAGCATGCGCAACAGAATGGAAAGTCTACAAGCTGATGCCATGCAGCAGCAGCTCACCCATCACAAGGTGCCTCGTAGTCGTAGGTCATCGCCGTTCGTGGACCCGCGTCCATGTCCATCATTGGAGGGCCGCCCATCATTGGAGGGCCGTCCATCATTGGAGGGCCGTCCATCATGGGAGGGCCACCCATCATTGGGGGGCCATCCATCGTGGGAGGGCCACCCATCATTGGAGGGCCACCCATCATTGGAGGCCCACCCATCATGGGAGGGCCGTCTGGTGGCATGATGCCAGGGCCGTCCTCACATGCAAATTGTTCACAGCAGCAATGCAGGGGTGCGTGCGTGGGTGTACAGTCACAGACTTACCAGCACTTACCAGGACTCAACAGTCTCTAACTCATCGCATGCTTTCGCGGGATTGATTGACACCAAGCCATTCATGAGTAGATCACACTGGGATTCCGCCCCCAAAAAGAAGTGGCTGGTGAGCAGCTCTCTTTGAAATCTTGAACAGCAGTCCTACCTGGGCCCTGTGAGCTGCTTCATGGGAAGAATCTATGTACGCAAAGCCTAATCGATCGTGTGCGCAGGCCTGCGCTTCTCATGCATGTACGCATGTACTTGTCATGGGCGTGTGCAGGTCGTGTGGTTCGGTTGCTGTTGCCGGTATGTCACTGTATGTCTTGTGGTAATTTGGTAGTTTGGTACAGAGATGAGTTCCCTAAACCCGAAACCCTAAACCCCACGCCCTAAACCCTCCAAACCCTAAGCCCTAAACCTCAGACACCCCTGACAAAGCCGAGCGACAGGCGGAGCCATGGGCTGGGGTTTAGGTGGTGAAACAGGAATCGGCTCGTCTTCGGAGTACTCGTCCTCTTCGAAATCCTCACTTGCCTCTTGAGACGGGTGTTTTGTGGATCTGAGTTTTTTTCAGGGGGCCTGTGTTCGATGAATCTCCTTGGCTTCACAGTCGTGGGTGACTTCCTCTGGGCTCTGTGGGCGCTGCAGACGCTTTCAAGCTCATATAAGTTGACTTGGGCTCGGTCAGAGGCACGTGACGAGATGGGATGCACACATCTTGCCTAAACATCTCGATTACAGAGCTTTAAAACAATCCTTCCTGTTCGGACTGCTTAATTCAAGCGCCGTCGAGGTGCATAATGCTGCAGCGGCATCCGGCCAGAGGGCTCTTCTGCAGGTGCCTCTTTTGCAAGACTAAGGAGGTGTCTACCCAGACTTGCGCGAAAATCTGAAGAGAAAGCGCAAGAAGCAGCAGGTGATCAGGAGTTTGTTTGCGTTGCTTTTGCAGGCGGCGGTGGTGCTGCAGACATAGTGGTTGCCACGACAGTCGCCACCGGCTGTTGCCGCCGCAGCTGCTGTTGTCATGATGGTGGCTTTTTGTTTTGTGCCGGGGGTTTTGGGTGGCATGGCCGTGGCTGTTGTCCTGGAGCTGTCAGGAATACTGCCGCTGTCCTTGCTGCCGTTGTTGTGGCTGCTTTGTAGTAGTGGTGGTGGTGGTGGTGGTGGTGGTGGGGGTGGTGGTGGTGGTGGCGGCGGTGGTGGCGGTGGTGGCGGTGGCAGTGGCGGTGGTGCTGGTGGGGGTGGCGGGGGTGGCGGTGGCGGTAGCGGCGGCGGCGGGGGTGTTCATTGCACCGTTGCTGGTAGCAGCAGCAGCAGCGGTAGTAGTGGCAGACTTGATGACGCCGCTTGAGGCAGAGCTTTTGGTAGTGGCAGTGGTGGTAGTGTTTGTGGCTCTACTGCTGCATCTGCTGGTCGTAAGCTGTGGGGTCTTGCAATCTGCATGGGTGGAGACCGGGCGGTGCAGCCCGCTGCAATTCGTGCGGTGGTGCTGGTCTTGCTGCTGCCGCTGAGGTGGTTGCTTGTGTTCTGATGATGATGATGTTGTTCTTCTAATTATTGCTCTTGCGATTGCTGGTGCTGCCGGTGTTTGGGTTCACTTCATTTGTTGTTATGTTGGATACGCGGGAGTGTTATTTGCTTGCTTACGGTCTTCTCCCTTGTGTTAGCTTGTCTAGCAACTCCCGCAAAGCTGCCAGATCATGGAACCGGTGGATTGTGGTGATGATGGCGATGGTGGTGATGGCTGCTGCGGTACTTGTGCTGGTGCTTTTTGCTGTTCCTGCTGCTTTGAGTTTTCAGGGGCCTGCAGCACATGCAAAGAGGGATGAGCGCATATAGATACTGGCGATCCTGCACTGGCCGCACCATCAAGTTTCGAGATGAGGACCCTCGCCATAAACAAAACATGTCACTGCTGCTTAGGTACTCGCGAGGCAAAGAGAACAGAACGCGACCCTGCGAGAACGAGCTTATAGCTTATGAGAGGAAGAAAGCAGGAATGAGCAGGAGAGCCGAAGAGAAACATGATGAAGACACCAATGACAACCCATGCTTGTAAAACTGCCTGTGTGCATGAGCTACAGTGCTCAAACAAAACACACCTTATGCCGGTGTTGATGAATACGGCAAAGGTAGCCGTGCGACAAGTATTATGGTGTAGTATTATCTCCGACGGGGCTGCCATCATAACAGCTACTTCCCCTTCAAGTTCATGATCATCATGAGGGCCATCGTCACCGCTGTCATCAAAACCTCTCTTCTTCAACAACCAGGCCAAGAAAAGTTCAAACGTTTTAAGATAGATCTAAAATGTAAGGCAAACATGTTAAAGTTCTCCAATTGGCTATCTGAGAAAACTGCCACACTGGACTAGACGGACAAGTGGCGAGCATCAAAACAGCAAAAAGCAGGAATTCACACCAGCCTCTGTCTTGGCTGCAGCTGAAGGCTGGCTGGGTTCTGCCGCCGCCGGTTTCGGCGCTGACAGGAATTCTTCATAGTCCGAGTCGTACTCGTACTTTTCCTGCACGCCGCTGGAAGAAGGACAGCTTAGGGCTCGGACAAGTATCACCAGCTGCGGTGCGAGAACGACATGAACCACTCGAGCGCCTCTGCTTTGGCTGCCGGGGCAGACTCGCTCGGCTGTGCCGCCGCAGGCGCCGGTTGGGATAGAAACTCTTCATAGTCTGAGTCGTACTCGTACCTCTCCTGGCATCAGAAGAGACGCTCAGCTGGACCCAGACTCCGGCGAGGTTTCATGGAGCCTCGCTGAAAACAGCCAGCAAAGGAACAAAGAATCAGAAACATCGCTGGCCTCTTTGGCCGCCGCTGCAGGCTGGCTAACGCCAGCGCTCACTGCAGGTGCCTGAATGCACCGGAAGCGACACCAACAACAATCACATGATGATTGCATTCCTAATCGTAATGACACGCTTCATATACGACTATTACTGTAGCTACGATGACTACTACCATGTTTAGTCCTTATTAGTTGCTATTTTACTATTCCCCACTTCCGGGCGCCTTGGCCTCGGCTTCGAGAGCGGCCGGGGGCTGACTCGGCTCGGGCCCCGGAGGAGGGGTCTCCTCGAAGTCTGAGCCGTAGTCGCTCCGGTCCTGCGAGGTTTCAGGGGGCTCAAGGTGTGGAGTGTGGGGGTTTTGGAGGGCTTGGAGCTCACAGGGTTTAAGCTTTTGGGGGGCTTTTGGGGCTGAGGGCTGCTACAGTAGGGATGGGTTCATGGTACTGGTGTGTTGGGTTTAGGGTTGACCGGATCCGGGCCTTTGCGCCTGACTAGGATTGTGTTTGGAAAGGTCAAGAGAGAACAACTACTGTCATATCGTTCTGCAAGACCGGACTGGATCATGGTCCACCGGGCACGCCACGAGATTTACGTCACGTGGTCAACCGAGAGACCCCAGCTGCACGTTGTGTCTGTTTAAGGTTACGGCCCGGCCATGGTTTTGCTGCACAGGGGGCTGTGGTTGCAGTCCACATGTATCATTGGGGTGAATGAACGAGTACAGAGCCTGAGACATGCTCAAGGCCAGCATACATACATTTGTCATTTTCAAACTCAAACTCTAGAGAAACGACTCCCTTGATATGACTTGGGCTAGGACTGCTCAGCGAGTGCTGAGTGAAAGCAAACAAGGCCGTTGAGGCTTTTGTACTCTGACCCTCACCCTCACGGGCAAGCAGCCAAAAACCCGCCCGGCCAGAGACCAGAGAAAGCAAGGACAACAACAACGAAGAAACAAACAGCAGCAGCCAAGGAAACACCCCCTCGAAGCCCCAAGTCTTGTGGAGTGAACCCAAAGTGTGATTTTAAGAAACCCTGCCTCGGCAGCAGGCTGTGGCTTGACGGTGGCGGGGGCCTTCATTGCAACAGCGCGTGAAACGCTCCGGGTTTCGGGCTGTGCGTGCAGCTTTGCCGTGCTGATTCATGATGACTCGCATGCATCTTAGAGGCTTCACCCGCTCTTGCTACTTGTGCAGGAAACGTCACCTGCACCCACCAAAACCACCACCAACAACAACAATCACCACCACAACGACTACGACTACGTCGATGACGACTCCTACTACCCCTACCCCTGGTACTACTGGTAATGCTAGTCGTAGTTCTAGAACTAGCAATACTAACAGTGTCCACATGGCTTATGGCTCCTTGCCGTGGTCGTGATGGAGACCATCATCGAAGGTCCCTATTCACTACATTGATAGGCTGGTCTTCCGAAAATTGATAGGCTGGTCTTCCGAAAAATCAAGGTTGCTCTCGAAATCAACCCTTTTGCTGTGATGCTTCCGCATTCAATACTTGGCTAGCCCTTTGTTGACGAAGCCTGCCGCTCGAAGACTGTAGCCCTCATCGGGCCCGTATTTGGACAAGTTCATGCCCCCGCCCTCACTAACCGTCCACCCTGAAACCCTCAACTGCTGCCCGACAGCAGCCCAAGCCCCACTTCGCACAAACTCCCAACACTTCACGATGAGCCGTATGCATGAACAGAATGCAAGCCACTTAAATTTTAACCCCAACTGCGAAAGCCAAATATTCCAGAAGCATGCCCAAAGCAACAAACAGTCTGAGATCCTCACCGGTGCGGGCTCACCCAGCGGAGCCTCCGGCGGTCGGAATCAGGCAAAAGTACGTTCAGGGGGTTGATAATCGGCTTAGCGGCTTGCCTGCCGACTGTTGAATTTTGGCTTTGAGTTGTTGGAGCTGCTTGCGAGGCGCTAGCCGCAAAGAAGCAAACCTACAATAGAAGATCCAGGACACACGCTGTTTAGTGCTTTCGGGCTGTCGCCCTGGAACGACCCACACTTCCCATCCCACCCCCGTACCAGGCAGGCCTCCTGTTTTGCAGGGGTTGGCGCCGCTGGCGTCGGGCTCGGGCTGGCCACCTCTTGATGCACACGGCACACGGCTTCCACAAGATAGCTCGGGTCCGACTTTCGAAGGCCGTTAGCACGTAAAATGCGGTGCCTCAGGGGCCTGACTCCATGAGGCTGGGCTTTAAGGGATGCTTCGGAGTTCAAGCTTGAGCCTCCGGGTCACCGCTTCCACGACGGAATTCCCACACTTCACCCGAGACCCGCCTAACTCGCGCCCAGTTCAGATTCCTCGTCGCCTCTTCGTCTTGGCATAGCATCATGGCTACTTTGACGCTGAACCCGTGGCTCCTTCTTGCCATTCCCATACTGATAGAGGTGGTGGTCTACGCAAGGTTTCCCGGGCTAGCCGACAACGCATCACCCTTACCCCGTGCAACTGAAGGTGCTCCCGAAGTTGGGCACGCCTGGGTGTTCTGCGGCGGATCTGCAGATTCCTCGCGGAATCAAGCTGGTCACGCGACACTCGTGGCGTGAATAGTTCATGAGAAGTGCGGCGATGTGGTGTTCAAGGGATAAGTGCCCTCATGTTCTGAGTTGCCCCTGCAGGATCTACCGTGTTCACTGCAATATCGGATTGCCAGTCCCTGCTACAGCAGGGGAAAGCCTGGATCTACCGTGACTGTTGACTATTGTGCTCAAAACGCCAATAATCATCTTGCATGGCCCCTTAAAGCCTTGAGGCCCTAAAACGAGATCAGAGCCGGAGTTTGGAAGCCAAACTGAATAACAGGTTATCCGATATTATCAGGGTTTAGAGTTTACGTCGTTTGCGCAGGGTTTTAAAAGGTCCAGATTCCTGGAGATTGCGAACATTCACGTGCTGAGGAGTCGTCGGATGATTCCTATCATCATCCCTATTTCATCACCGCGATCGCAATATACTTGTTTGGACTCTCGCAACTCGGGCAATGCGGGCGAGGTTGGTTTCTAGGCGAAGAGTTTAGGATTCCAGCTTTTCAAGGATTGAGATACGACTGCTTCATCGCCGTTAACAATGGCAGCTGCGCTCTTGACACGCCGAAAGCACAAACAGCGTCGATCTCGAATCCCAAGCCACAGTGTCTGAACTCTCACACTGGACCCGACTCACTTGCCTGTTGGGGCGTGGGCCAGAATTCACTGAGAGTGCTCAGCAGGCCCCCTAAACCTCAGAGGCATCAGCAGGCATTCGGTGTGGCTCGGTGACTCCGTGTCTGATACATTCATCGCACAGACGAAGAGAAGCTCGGGTTTCTGAGCAGGTAGAGCTCAAATGCCGGCAGCAATCGCTTTGCTATGAACCAAATCTGGAGTGCAAGCGGGCATAAGGATGGGTGAGTTGAGAGTTGACCCTAGCTTTAAACCGAAACCACGCATGCCCTACTCACTACTCGCTTTCAGCATCCTGATCTTGCAAAGCGTCAGAACCCCTACACACCCCTTGCTGAGCTGCGAAAGCACTCTGAGGCACAAGAAAACCCTAGGCTCTGTTGGTTTAGTCGAGAGGACAGAGCCTCACATCTTGCCCACTTCCGGTCTGAAGCGCCCCAAACTTCGGCCCTAAGCCAGGAGTGCTGCTAATTCCATCCGGAGGCTAGCTTTCGAGGTGGATCCTTCTCTCCGCGCGACCTCTTCAAAGAGACCTGCCTGAGCATGGTCAACAGCTTAGCATCAGAACTTGGGGTTTGGGCTTCTGCGCAGCCTGCAGTTCAACCCAACCCCTCCAGAAATCTTTTTGACTTCTATGAAACCCGAGATGTCTGGCCCTGTGCTCGGGGTGACCAGCTGCAGATCGAAGTTAAGGTATGCAAAGGCTTTGGCTGAGACTTGTGCAGTGGGAAAGTCAGTCTACCCAGCCTTGCAGGGAATGCATGTCTGAGAACTGTTGTTGTCTTGCAAGCTGAAAATAAACATCTTGAAATGAGGGTGTGGGAAAACATCTCTTGTGGACGGCATACACTTACCATGTTGAGTTCGATGTTTGCCTCAAGTGCTTTCATCATAGATATTAAGGAGAGGGTTTGGGAGATCATCCATCTCGCTTCTCTCCTTTGTTGTCTCCCTTGTCCAGTTTTCTGGACGACCCCGCACCAATGCACAGCATGTAACTGGCATGCACCATGACATGATACTGGTATGTTCTGCTGTGGCTGCCGGTGTCTGTGTGCTTTTATGCTGTCCGTCTGTCTTGTTCTGCTGCAGTGACCGTACACATGGATGCAAACATGCTCTTCTGCGCAATTGTACAGCAGGAAGGAGGCTGCCTGGAGGATTCCTGAACGTCCACAACTCGAACGAAGAAGCGTCATGCATGTGCAGACATGCTAGCGGCTGCTAGCGCACAACATGAAACGAACGACATGGCCTTGCTTTCTTGGATGGAATTTCCTCAGTCTCATTCTCCGAAGCCACTAAGTCCATAGTCTCCAGCAAAGTTGCAAAGTCAAAGGGTGTGAAGGAGAACACTCCGAGATGATACAGCTTCATTTTGAAGCTCTCCTTGGTGGGTTACATGCTGAGTTACTAAGAGTGAATGAGCCACCATACATGCCTGTGCTTGGTGAAGGTCCTAGATCCACTCCGTTTAAGGACAAGCATGGGGCTTAGCATCATACGACTTCCGAACAGAGAAACCTCGGGAGCCAGAGAGGAGTTAGGAGACCCTTAACTATCAGTGGAGCCTGCTTGTTGCTGCGAGCCTGCATCCGCAACGTATCTGCTGACCGTGCAGACGAATCCATTCTCTGGTCTGAGAAACAAGCTGGCTTAAGTTCCAGCTGCCTTGCTCAATGTGGAAACTCGCTTCCTCACAACGAAACATAATCAGCCCCCAAACTAAACGCCGGTCACTTCGAGCCCAACATCAAACCCATAACCCCGAACCAAAACCCCTAACCTCCGACGCCCCACACCCCCCCTTGTTAAACTCACACTCGAACCCCGCAAACCTTCCAAGAAGCCTGACCTCTCCCAAACCCCAAACCCCTAAACCCCGAATCCCTGAACCCTGACCCCAGACCCTAAAGAATCTATCTTGCCAAGGACTTTAACAAGGAATCGTAATCAGCAGCCCTGAACAGGTAGGTTCTTTGGGTCCAAGCGAAAACCTAAACCCCCCAAAACATCCAAACCCCTAAACCACAAAATCCCTAAAACCCCAAACCCTCCTACCCTAAATCCTTCCAGGCCCTAACAAAAAAGAAGAAATGCTTTACAAGCAGGGGTCCAAGTCGAGGCCCTCCGACTCGTCAAAGGCTTGTCCCGGTCGTCTAAGCAGTGCTCTGAGGTTGGCAGAAGGGCCGTGCTTTTCAAGCAACCTCTCCAGGGGCCATGGGGTGTTTGGGGAATGTGGTGCTATCAAGATTCTAGATGGATATTCTAACGGGTCTGGAATTTCAACTTCATGACGGGTCGAAACGGCGGTTGGTGGGGCGATCGCGGGACTAGTACTTCGATGAAGGCTTGGTTAGCCTCGTGAGGAGACTCAAGATTCCCTCTGGACTTTAATTTTCGGATCACGGTTTAGGACAGGGCTGGCTGCTACTGTCCGGCTAGGCTGCGGGTTTCGACTCTGCCATACGTGGAGGTTTTGAATACAACTGAGTGCGACTGCATAACATGGTGCGCTCTGCATGAAGCCCCCGGTGGCTCCGGCCACGCACGCCGGGCGATTGTGGGTAATGTCTTTCAACGCTCAAGCTCTCTGCCATAACCCAAAACATGCCTCCACACACCTGTGTATAAAGATATCTGTATGTGTGTATATATGTATAGACATATTGTGTATATAGATAGATAGATAGATAGATAGAAATGGCAGCAAAAGATCCGGCCTCCTCGCCAGGTCCTCTGCATTCTTGTCTGACTGGGGCTCTGTGGGAAGCGCCGGCTCTGGCTCCTGCGCAGCATCAGCCTTCCACGGGTTGGAGTGTTCGGAAGGCTATCTAAGTCTAAAAAATAGATATAAATATAAATATAAGTTTATATATAAATATGAATATTTTTCATAACAGTGACAGCAATAATAGTAATGATAGTAACAACAAAAATTATTTCTATTATTAATAATACTAATACTAATAATAATAACCATTATAATATAGATATTATGTATATATATATATGTGTGTATACATATATATGTATATGTATGTGTATATGTATGTATATATATATATATATATTTATATTTAGAGAGAGAGAGAGAGAGAGAGAGAGTTTGCATCGGGTCTCCTGCTTCGGGGAGTTCAGGCTTCCGTATGTTGTGAGCGTACCGTCAACGATTTCTCTTGTGAGACGTTGTCAGGTAAGCTCCGTTGACCAGCAAATAGTCATAGGCGAGCTGTTCTGAATTCGCCAACACTCCAGAAACTTAGAGGAGAAACGGACATCATCAGCCGGAGTGATTTCCGATGAAGTAAACTGGTTTTAAGGCTCACAACGGCACCTGAGCAGAAGCCGGCTCATCTGGCTCTGGCTCTGCTAGCCATGGCATGGCAGGCACTGGCTGCGCAGGTGCCGGCTCCTCCTGGGTCGGAGGGTTTTTCCCAAGCTTTGAAGAAGCCGAGGTACTCCCTGCAATAACGAAGGATTTCTGGTTTTTGGCTGCCACTGGTCAGGGAAACTTTGCCCAAGCGACGAAATCATCCTCGTAGCCGCCGGGCGGAGGCGTAGGACCTGGAATGAATAGATTTCTGAGAGAGAGTTGGTTTTTCCCTTGGCCCATGAACCCTACATGACTCGGACTTCAACTTCGGACTTGGGAACTTTCAGGCATCCCGTCAACATGTGTCTGCTGAAGCTCCCGATGTTATGGAGGATTCTAGATCCTCAGCAGAACAATCACAAACGGCAAGCCGGGAAACTTTCCGGCAAACAACTCGGCGGTGCCCTACAAATGCCCTTACAGAAGTCAGGCTACTGAACTTGAAGCCATCAAACGTAACGCCACATCTACATCATAACAGCAAATGAACACTCACATTCCTCTCCGCCTAGACCATCCCAAGTCGCTCGTCGGGTTGGGATGGTCCGCAGACTCTAGGGGCGTCTCTGGCCGAAAAGATGGCGGCTCCTGGCAGGGGGTAAGCCAGGCTTCAGGTCGATCTTGTGGCCTTCAGCTCCCAGCCGGCACTAAGCTGACAGCCTTCAAATCAAGACAGTATGGGCGACGAAGCGTGCCTGGACATGGCCACGCGGCCAAGCTTCTAGCAAAGCCCCTGTATTTTTGTCCAACGGTCCTGATCGCTGTCGCCGCCCGTCGCGACAGGAAGATCCAAGGCCGTCATGCCGGAGTCCTCGCACAGCTGCAGCAGTAACTAACTTTAGTAGCAACGCACATGTAACGGCAACAGCAACAACCACGTCATGAGATGGAACTGCAGCCCGACTGTTCCGCGCCTCCTGCCTGTTCTACCAACCCCGACGACGATGACGACATCACCCCCACAGACGACTACAGCACCTACTAGCACTACTACGACGACGACGGCGACGACTACTACATCGTGCAGGCTATGGACCAAGGATGCACTGCAAATCTCAATCATGTACCAAAGTCAAAGGGGCAAGGCCTGCGTCGTCGCCGCAGGCGCCGAGGAGGGTGATCGCAGCTGTTGTGCAGACGAAGGTCGGGGAGGGGAAGCCGTTGAAGCCTTGCAGACTAAGCTACTGCGCCTTGTATTGCCAAGCAGGGGCTATTGACGGCTATTGCTGGCCGAACTCTCCCTTGTGACCCGTGATGCCGCTGCAAGGTGAGGGTCGCACAATGTCACAGCGACGGCTTTTGTTGAGGACTTGGGAGATGCCAGGGCTCCCTCCTTAAAGCAACGTTTACCGTTGCACAAGCATACAACACTCACAGTGACAACACGCCCGTCTAGACGTCGTCGACAGAAGGGTCGTGTAATCCTTAAGGTCAGTGGGCATGGCTGAACAAGATCGCAGGTTCAGGGGTTGTTGGACGTCACAGGGTGCCAAGGACGGCTGCTGCGGCATGGGCAGGACAAAAGCCGCTCTGCTGCGAATACCATGTAGTTTAAGCGGGCATTCCTCATGTTTAGAGAGCCCTAAATCCTAAACCCGATACCCTGTATACTCTGGTGTCTTGTCTGACCGAAGAGCCCCAATCGTGGTGCTGCCATAGGTGGAGAACGCCGAGACGGGGCGAGGAGGAGGGGAGCAGCTTCGGCCTCGATCAGGAGCGTCATTGGAATTCATACAAAGTAGCTTCAAGAAGGCAGGCAGTTTGAGTTTTTTTTGAAGGTGATTGCAGAGTTCGCTTCCTAAACCTGGGCATTGGGCTCCATCTGAAGGAGCTGCAGCTTTGGTATGGGCAGTGCGCCATGGCAGGGACAGGCATACAATCATACAGCACTTTCTAAGTTCGGATTTGAACTCTGAGCCTGCAAGAAGCTGAAGCCCCGATCGAGAAGGCTTTGGTTTCTGGCCCAGCGAGACTTTACAGGCAAAAAGATTATAGATCTGTAGCATAAAAGCCTCGGCATGATGCCAAACCCAGGTTAGACCCTGTACTTAGCAATACTAATCGCTTCTCGTCCCTTTGCCTTATATTACAAGACTAAGTATGCCGGAAAACCGTGCTCTAATCATTCTAAGCCCTTCTCGTCCAATCACACGGAAGCACCTCTAAAGAATGAACCCCTCCCCTAATTCGCTGAGATCCCGCATTGAAACGGATGGTCGCAGCCAAATGCTTGACACCTGTGCGCCCCCATGGGGCGCGGTTCCTTCACCGGCCCTTTAGAAGCCCTGAAGGCCATATTCAACACGATGACTTAGTCTTCCGAGGCAGTTGTTGATGAAGTTCATCAACCGTGGAGAAGATTGCACTCTGCGGGACCCTTGGGACCTGAAAGCGACATAACATGTAAAAGCTGCTCACAGGACAAACTCTCGCTCAACCTGTGGAATTTCTGCCTCTTTATGCGTACATTCAAGAAAAAACCGAGGATGCAAACAAACCGTGTTCTCCCCGCCATTATTTTTCTGGCTGCTGCCCCTCTGACCACATTAAGCTCACAGCACGCTGCGGTCAAAGGCGCTCATACTCTCCTGGTTGTCCCCGCCGGGCGTCCGCCGCTCTACAGGGGTTGGCGTGCCTCCTCCTTGGATATCGTTTTGCTTAGACGGGCGAGTCTGGAAATGCTGGCAAGGAATCGGTGAGACAAGTCTGGGGTTCACACTGCGATAGGCCATTCAAAGCTGCCGGTACGGCCTGGCCTTCATCCCGAAAAAGGTGATTTGGCCCAGAAACACCAACTACCGTAAGTGGAAGCTCAAGGCACCTGGCATGTGGTGCTCTACACATAAAGCCGTGGACCGACCGAACCGCGGTGCACGATGCTTCTTGGCGTCCCAACCCCGAATCGGGCAAATGTAACATTCGCACCCCATTGCACACACGACTGGGTCCCAACGTGCCAAGCCACGGGGGGTGAGCCCAAAGAACATAGGAGGATGAGGAATAGGCTTCGGCTTCTCGGTGCGTGCGGTCGATGTCCACCGCTGGTGCATCTGCTTGACCTCACCGGACCTTTGGATTCGGGCATGTAAGTGCATGGAACCAGTTGGGACTGGGTGCCTTCACGGGGTCCACGATTCTGCGCCGGCCTAGGTAATACTCTTGTTCTCTCTTTCCTCCACGCATGAGGCTCGGTTTCAGAAGTTTTCTGAGACGTTTGATTTGGATGACCGGTAACTTCGGCATCCCGGCTCATGACTTGCATGTTGAACCTGTCTCTAGGACTCTATAAGTTGTACGGTGAAGGCTGGCCAGGGCATCACCGGTTTCTGCTTTCATCATAGTGCTTTGGTTTCTGCTTTCATTCGCGTCGCGCATGTCTCAACTATTCATGGCGTCATCATGAAGCCACTTGTCCTCCCCTCCTACAATCTTGAGAGACCCACTAGAGTGGTGCATGGTAGTAGACGTTTATAGACTCTTCCGGGCTGTCATCCCAGAAGCAAGATGAGGTAAAGGTGCGGAGCAGATGTTTCTGGAGACGCGGGATCCATTTATTCGCTTCTTGGGCCTGCTGTGAGCTTGAAACTCTTCGTCCGACGAGATCACTTTCCAGCTCGACAACGGCAATCATGATTGGAATAGTGATAGAGTTTTGGGGGTGTACAAAACTATAGGTGTAGGAGCAAGCATAGGCTAACCCCACACCTCACATCCTATACTCCCGCCTACACTTTCACTCCATTTCTCAACCCGCCTAAGATTTCAACTTCCCAAAACACCAAAACATAAAGCACCTCCCAAAATCCAATACAATAATCCCGAAACAAAGCAACCCACCAAAACCAATACAATTATCCATAACACAACCCAAAACCAAAGCACCCAAACAATCCATAACCTTATCCATTCTATAACCAATATCCTAATGAGGTGTGGGGTCAGCGACCCTAAAAGACAAACCCAAAAGACTATAACCCTGAACTCGGAAATGCACCCTGCATAGCACATCTTGCGTCGGTCCCAATCATAGCCGATCCCAGTTGTCCGGACTTGCAACTTTCAGGGCCTGAAGGGCGGCGCTTTCACAGCTTTGAGGTCATCTACTTCTTTCCTCAAACGTACAATCTCAGATTTGTTCTTGTCGTTCTCAGATGCCAGCTCGTGATTCACTTCTTCCAGATTTTTCGCGACACTAATAAGGCGCTCCTGGAAGAGCTCCACCAAAGACTTGTTCGACTTGATCAGATCGCGACACTCCCTTGCGCAGTCTCGCGCTCGGTCGGCCGTGATAATTACATACACCACCAGCAGCACCAGCACAATATGAACGAAACAGAGGTAACTCCTACGGGCCATCGTCCGGCACCTGTCTTGCCAACTTTGCGGTTGCCACGCGCGCTGCGAGTGATCAGAATCGACTCGTCCACCAAACTGTATGTGAATCTCCGGTCGGTCTTCAAGCCTCTTGTGAACCTGGTCAATCATCCAGTCCCGCATAGCTTGGTGCTCATGCATGTCAAGCGCCTGACCGTCGCCCTTCTTGCGTTCAAAATGAACCTCATACAGTACAATCAGGACATGAGTTTCCCTCACTACCGAAACGCCACACGCGGCAAGTACGACCTGCATCATTTGCAGTGCCTGACTCGTCGCGGCAAGTACGACCTGCATCATTTGGAGCGCCAGACTGGTCGTCAATCTCGCGTCGTATGCTGGATTTGCATACCAAGACCTGCTTCAGTTCGAATTTCTCACCTTCTGTCAAAACGTGCTTCAATGACTCGGTGATGTTGTACAAATATTTTCCTCTTCGCCCTCAGGTACCACATAATGCTTGAAGATAAATGGGTGCTTGACAATGCGAAAGTTCTCCCGAGCGATGTGCAATGATGACACATCAATGGAAGGCAAACTCACGTTGAACAAGTTCACGGTGGTATTGACCGTATTGTCGCTGCCAACCTTGTTTCCACTCATGTTGCTGCCCACGTTGTCAGCAGAAGCTTGAAGACTAGCGGTTGCAACCGCTGAGCTGAACAGCCAACGTCTGGCAATCTCTCCCACACATATTGGGCCATGTCTAGGTGGTGCGATTGCAGGCAGCCTGAAAAATCTGCAGCTTGAATGTGAACGGAAACATCGCACCGAAGTCACGCTTGCCAGCCGCATCAAAACGGCTGACATGTGCTTCTATCGATCCTGACGTGAGGCTTGAGCCCATGGGTCTTGTTTCAAATACCGTTGCCCGTCCTCAGCTTCAAAAGTGCTATGCAACCATACAACAGCATTGAATGCATCGCTGCCCTTCGGTTGAGGCATGCGGGGAGTCCACATGTTTATGCCTTCATGTGGCCACTTGCACCTGCATTGCAGGTGAAAGGCGCTCCCTGTGTTTCGTTCATGTTGTGCGACTAGTGCAGACGCGAGTATGATGCTTGTCGGGTGTGAGAGAAGGGACGAAGGCTCTTAAATTACAAGGGGCAGTATCACATGTAGAGCTTGCAACTGCCCACATATGCAAAGGCATCACAAATTCAAGAAACCTGCTTTACCAAATCAACAAACAAGCAAACAGAAGCACAAGAAAGGGGTTTTAGGATACTGTTTTAGAATGGTGGTAAAAGTGTAGGGTGGGGTATAGGCGAGGGCGTGGGGATGAACTGGGAAATGCCCCTTGCTAGCTGTAGGGGGACCATGGGGGAATACCATTACAAACTATTCCGACCGCCATCTTACTTGAGTTGTATCGGGACCATAAAGGGGATACTGGAATACTGCTACTAGCTATTCCGGCACTCCCAG